AAATCCTTAAACATATTTCCTCCTCGGAATCAGGTAACTGTCCCTGGCACCCGGAACAGATCCAAACAATGGAACATATGCAAAATCAGTAATTATGATCTGGAAGATAGCTTATAAGCTCTTTAAAGAGTCTCTTAACTATAGTCCTCCTATATCTCTAGAAAAACTTTTTACCCCTTCGATCACGACAAACATGGAAGCTATTCAAACACTCACTTGGATACATATCTGCACTATTTATGAAATTTGGTGCTGGAAATATAGTGAAAAATGGGGTAACGGTGCTCCGGCCCTTAAAAAAATTATTGTAAGCCGTCTTTCAAGTGAATTTCAGGTCCCACAGAAAAGGCTAACAACTAAAAATTCAAAAATTAATATTTTAACCAAATACTCACGAGACGAATTCCCTTTATCCTGCGATCCAACAATATATAACGGTGATGAACTACCTAGGTTGAAGATAAAAAAAAAAAAATAAGAAAATAAAATAAAATAAAATAATAAAAATATAATAATAATAATAATAATAATGATAATGTTAAATTTCCCACCCAGCACATTAGTATAGAATTTGAGAACTGTTAATGTAACTCTAAACTTTACCTGTAATTTAGTTTTTCGAATATAATTAAAGCGACTCTTGTCGTCCTGCAACTTTTATGTCGAGAGGTTAAAAAAAAAATAAACACTAGAGTTTTGACTCGAATAAAAAAAATATCGAGTAAAAATATTTTGAACTCTCGAAATATACTGTACCTAGATTTTTTGAGATTTCTTTGATAAATATCCTCAATCAGTTACTATATAGAATAATTAGGAAATTTATGATATCGACTAAAAACCAACGTAATCTTGCCCGATATTTATTTTTCCAATAATAAATTAGTCTCTAACATCCAGCATTATTAAATAACAGTTGATTATAACAAAGCCTAAAGGCAGTGTTGGGTTAAAGACAATTTGGACAAATTTGGAACAATTTAAATTTATTGATAACTCAAAAGTTTATTATATAAAATAACCAGTTTTATATATTTAAATAAAAATATTTGACATTTAATTATATACATATTGATATCTATATATTGCTTTAAAAGATATTTATAATGACATTTAATTATATATATATTTCTTTAAAAGATATTTATAATGACATTTAATTATATACATATTGATATATAAGGTGAAAGGGGGTATTGTGGCGAAGAGGGTATTGTGACGAATTCGTGATATCTCGTGATCTAGCGATCAGA